TGTTTTACATCTCCCTGGTTATAACTTTGGCTTTCTAATATTTAACAAAGGGCCCAGCTCAATCAAACCAATGCATCTGTTAAATCTTTAGGTTCGCCCCCAATGGCAATAAATCTTGCTTATGCTAGGCTAGGCTAGGCTAGGCTACCTAGGCCTAGACAAGACCTAGGGCCTCTAGGCTAGCCTAGCCTACCTATAGCATTGAAGTACTTAATTATTAAAAGTTGAACATTTTAAAAATATCATTATGAGAAAATAATATGAATATAAGGTAGTACATTAAATTCAATGTTCTAACTACCTAAATTAACCAGATTATTGAACGATCAAACGATCTTCTATAGAGAAAGATAACATGCCATCCTCCATGTAGTGGTTGGTTGGTGAATGAATTGGGGATCATCTTAATAATTAAACACTCACGCATGTGGAGTGCTGAAAGCTAGCTAGAGTGTACTCTCTGGGCTGCGGTACCTCCTGTGCAGGGATTGTCTCGAAAGTTCGGTTTTTTTTTTTTTATCTAATTCTCCACTAGACAATTGGGCAACATAAGGAGTAAATAGGCTAGCCCGGAGCGGTTTTTACTAGACATTGTACGCCGGGCTAGTACTAAATCGAGCCCTGTTTAAAGTTAATGACTACAGCTTGATCGTGTCCTGTTTGTTTATGCGACTTTCTAGGTTGTTTTGGCTTTCGCGGTGCGCATGTGTTTTCTACTCGCTTTAAACTCCGTGACCCCTCTCAAATGCTTAGATTCAGAGACCACCGTTTCGCTAGCCAAAGCAAATGCCACTGCTGCTTAAAATCTTATTTTACTAATTCTCTCCGGTTTTCTCCATTAGTTTTAATGCTGTTGTTTCGTTAGGTAGGCCACTTAAAAAACGATCTCTCAAATTTTTGTCCATCTTGTCGCCAAAGTTACAATGGAGGCTGAGGTGTTTCAGTGCAATCACGTAGTCCGCTATGCTTTCTGACGGACCCTGATTTCTTTTAATAAAGTTTCTTGTCTCAGCGACAGTAATTTAGGCTTTTTAGATGTTTGCCTAACAGATCCTTAATTACATATGTCTTTGATGATGGTTTATCAGGGCTGACAAAGTCTCGGACTATTCCATAATGTTTCTTGCCTATTGAGTGTAGAAAAAATACTGTTACCTGTGGCTTGATCAGATCCTCTGCCTTGAAACTGCTCGCTAACAATCGCAACTCAAATCTTTCCACATAACATTCCCACAGTTCTGATTCATCATATTCGGAGCTGAAGGGTGGTAAAAATTGGTGATTAACTGCAATGCTGACAGCCATCCTCGTCGCCAGTTGTTATATTCTATTATCGTTGGTACAGTTCGTATACTCAATCAACACTATAAAAACGTCTACCACAAGTCATATTGGTTTCTAAACTGATGTCTTTATTGCAAAATCGCGCGCTCCGCACTTCAGCCTCATCACAATACGTATCAACACGCCACAATATCTTCCCTTAATTGCCTATTTCATAAATAGAAACAATTACATTACTTTTATTTACTGCTCTATATAAGAACATTAATGCATATGTAACGGCCAAATGTATGATCGTTGGACTGCTTATACTTTAATGACGTTTTAATAATAAATGCTAGGATAAAGTCTAGCCATAGAGGTATAATAAGAATACTAGAACGCTAACTGCAATGTATTCGATGTTCGAAATACATAGAACTGTGTGTGTGTACCATCCAAGATGGCTACCATAGATTTAGCCAATCAAATTTCGCTAAGCGCCATCGTTTGCAAATGCGCCCTCAATTTACTCAGAAAGTTCAGGAGCGGATTGCTATAAGGGGTCTTTAGACGGTCTTAACGTTTAGCCGGTTATAAGCGTGACGTCACTACTGGTCTATAATTATAGACCATTGCTATACCGCGGTCTAACCAGTTAGCCGTCTTAAATTTTAAAGCCTACTCAGAGGAGGCTTAAAACGGTCTTAAATCATTTTCATCATGACGTTCTGCTGATAAATTCAACAGTGCAATGGCAAGACCTAGGCCTAGATCGTCAAAGTCGGAGAATTGAACGACTGATACTCCGCACACTTCTCAGCGTCTGTAAAAATACGTCTACAGCATTTATTTACGTTCATTTCGATACATTTGTGTGCGTCGAGCACGCATGACGTCGCCCTCAATCTTACGTTACCAGGGAGTGCTTGTTTGCATTTCAATACTCAAAGCGGTCTTAGAAAAGACTCTTTTAAATAGTCTTAGAGGTATGACTTTAAGACCGTCTAAGTGATAAAGCCAGCTTTATTCGAGGAGTTAAGACTACCAGTTAAGACTGTTTTATAGCAATCCACCCCAGTACAGCTAGTTACCTGTATGTTTGAAACTCGAGCTTTGCGGTGTTTGGGTGTAAAATGCTTCACCTTGCCTCGTTTTGGCTACAATAGTTTAATGATTTGTTATTACCATTACTCATTATCATTAATGAAATAATAGTCAGGCAGAGGGCTTATTAATATGTATACTAAGCCTGAAGGTGGCGCTTTACTACGGCAGCCATCTTGGATGGTACACATACATAACCCTGCATTGCTGCGCCATCTTGTCAGCACTCTAGTTGTTTAATAGCTATAGAGCTATTAAACTACTAGAGTGCTGACAAGATGGCGAAGAAATCCAGAGTTGTGTATGTGTACCATCCAAGATGGTCGCCGAAAGAAAGCACCACCTTCAGGCTTACTATACATATTACCATAAATAAGCCCTCTGACTGACTAATTATTTCATTAATGATAATTAGTAATGGTAATAACAAATCATTAAACTGCCGTAGCCAAAAAGAGGCCAAGTAGAGCATCTTATTCAAAAATTTAAAAAAAAATTAAAATCGTGTACATTACACCTATACACCGCAACGCTCGAGTTTCAAACATACGGGTAACTAGCTGTACTGAACTTTCTGTGTAAATTGAGGGTGCCATTGAAAATGATAGGGATTAGGCGAAATTTGATTGGCTGAATCTATGGCAGCCATCTTGGATGGTACATGCACACAGCTCTGCGTAAATCGAACATCGAATACATTGCAGTTAGCGCTCTAGTATTCTTATTATATCTCTATGTTAATAGCTTTATGAGTCTAGCCAAGTTATACGCCGATAGGTGGCATAGTTCTGGAGTGATGGTAAATGGAAAATGGCAGGATCCTCGCTGCAGAGATGCACCAAAGTTTACTTAACTCAAATGTAGTCCCGTTGTCATATAAACGGTCAGTTAGATTAGAAACAATATTATATGATGTAGAACCTAAGCATAAGCCTGATAATCTCGTTTGAATCAGTAATTATATTTTAGAAAAATCGTCCTGTACTTGCATAGGCCTAGGCCTACACGGCGTGCGGTTGGAGATAACTTTTGATTTAGGGATCATCTCATAAATGCTTGGTAGTAAATACTATAGGCTTAGCTAGCATGTATTCTGCCGTACGTTTTGCTGTGTTCGACAGGCACGACTTAAATTGTTATAACAGTTTAATTATAAGTAATTATAACGACGTTCATAATGAAGACACATTGTTCCTGTTGTCTATGTTTATTTTCATTTTATTTATTTCTATTGACTTTCAGTCAATCTGTGATACATGGATGAATTGTTCAAAAGAGGATTTGCTACGTGAATCATTAAAAGTTATAGAGCCTATCCTGTGTTACAACATTTTCATTTTTCAACTGGCTACAAAACTCAATACGTGTATTATAGCCTATTAATAATGCCTATTTATTGAAAGTGAAAAATTACAAAATTATCTTTTATTGATATAATATTGGTCTATTTTTTTTGTAGTGTTTTGACGGTTTTTAATTTTATCTACCTTTTATGCATTTTGAAATAAAATGAATAACTAATTTTTTTTATAAATATAAAAACTTAAAAAATAGTAATGTCTTTTCAAAATACACACTAAAGAATAAAAATGAAATAAGTTACTGCTGCTGTTATAGAGAGTGGTGTGCCACTCATTATCATAAAGCATAATACTCTACATTACATAATATATTAAATATTCATTAAATATAGGCATAAACAAAAAATATTATTTGATTGAAATTAACTCTTTCATTGAGTTGATTGTTGGATTTAATCTGTTTTTTTTTTTTTTTCCAGATATCTCCACAAACAAAAGATGTCTTTATTGAGGTCACTAGCTCTACAGATTTAAATATATGTAAACAAGTTATGGATACCCTCCTGAAAGCAATGCTGGACATAAAAATGGGTGGACTACCAACCAATCAACATGAAAATATCATGAAAATAGGTAACATAGACATACAATCACCAGACGATGGAGCAACATGTGGTACCCCTCACCAAGTGGACATGACTTGCCATGGAAATGATGAGCCGGTTGCATTTGATTGGCAGCAGCGTCTGAATGTGCAACAAGTGAAGATTGTGGATACAGATGGTAACCTGAAGGTTCTATATCCATCTAGAGTTGATTTAAAATATGATGAGCAGGACGTTTGTGTTGACCGGCCAATGTCTTGAAAGTATTTGAACCATTCCCTACCAAGTAGTTTCGTTCTGAAAGAGAAAGAGAGGGTTAAAATACTATTATGTTTTTTTTTTTATCAATCAAGTTCAAATAGGAATTTTCTTTGTGACTATACATGATCACTTTAAAGCTCGTTTTTGGATTAGACTTCCAATAAGTCAGCAGCAGCAGCAGAAAGGAGGGCGTTTATAAAGCAACTACATGGAATGGATTAGTCACTAATAATTAGTGAACTGGCTATTACATTGGCACTATGCTGTAATGTTATCCTAACTTGGTCTATGAGCCTTACTACTGTACTCTATTTACTTTATCAGACTTTTAAGTATTGACACATAAATACCAACTGTATTGCATCGTGCAGGACGGTCCAGCATTTCAAAATGATTTTGGAATAAACACGTGCATGATCTTAAATTGTTCACGCATTTAGCACAAGTCTATGTGTGATAACAAATTATTAATTAAGGGGAAATTGTATAAAAAGAAATCTGTTTTATTAAAAACATAAAAAACAGTTGTGAAGTAACTTCAGAAAATTAAACATACCTGTACATTGACACTCTAATTGTACATGGCTTTATTTAAAATATTTATGTTTATGTTCCTGGTATTGTCAACAAACACTCCCTGAAATTGCTTTAAAACAGCCAACTGGTGTAGTCACTCGTGCATTTTAAATCTCTCAGGTTGGTAACTATGTTGACATCTGGCATCTTCATTCATTTTTGAATTGTTATTACTTAATCAATGTTTATTACTCAGCTGTTAATAAATATTCCAATGCATATCCATATTTTAGAATTATGTATGTATATGCTATATATATATATATATATATATATATATATATATATAT